ATAAGAATTTGATCGTGATGAGATCACGATAACGAGACTGATTCACCTTTAAACACAAACCCTAAATAATCCTGGTCATTGGTTACTCAAAAAGAACATCGAGATAACTAGACAGATTGGTGTGCTGTATACCTGTCCATATAATGGATGCAACTAGTCTCATAACTGCTCGTGTGGGGATAGTAGGGATACAATATAGGTGCTCATAGTTCACTGATTGTCCGCTTACGGAATACTAGATGGTTGATGATGCCTTATTATCAGACATTGATTCCGTAGTCCCAACAGTGTATATAGTCCTTAGACTTATAGACACCAAAAATGTCTTGTATGAGTATTTCACTTTTTGATATCAGACTTATAGATTTGGAAGTTTCAAATCTAGTATAGCTGGTTATTGAGAGTGACAACCAACCTCACAAAGGTTATTGAGTGTCAATAGAGGATTATCCACTCTTAGTATTATGAGAGGAATATCTTGTGTGTTCTTGCTTAGACAAATCCTTGACCATGGTCATTCGGATTGAGAGACAAAGAGTTCTCCGGGAGAATCTGATTAGAGCAAGACTCGAGGAGAAACCATATAGTCCTGATAGCACTATGCCCGATATATGGTCTCTAAGATATTAGATGGTTGAGGGACTATAGGTACACGATAACTAAGGATAGATTGGATTCCCCTATATCGTTTGGGGACTACGGTATAGTGGCTTAGTATGTCCATAGTCGATGAGTCGAGTGAATTATTATGGAAATAATAATTCACTAAGCCAGAAGGAGTTCTGACAGGTATAACTCACTAGCAGCTCGATATTGAGCGTAGAGGGTTACACATATATGATATGTTTTGTGACGAGTAGAGATTCGAATATGAGATATCCGCTAGAGCTCATATCTTATTGGATATCCAATAAGCCCTTGAATTATTGGATCCCATGGATGAGATCCAATAAGAGCTAATAAGAGATTATTGGGTAGAGACCCACTAATCTAAGAGGCTTGGGTAATTGGATGAAGATTCAATATCCAATAGGGCATGATCCATTAGGGTTAACTAAGGGTCTCTATAAGTAGGAAGGAACTAAAAGCCCATAGGTTGGGGCTTCAAAGTTGCCATATCCTATTCTCCTTTCCCTTTATCCTCGGATAGTAGGCCTGGAGATTTGAGGAGCGTTGTTGTAGCCCTACTATGTGGATCACCGCTAGAGAGGAGGACGCTTGACCTCCTTCATCCACTCCTACAGATCTGTAAGGATTTAGGGATATACAATCTTCCTAGGTAACACAACTATCTCACGTGTGGTTTTCAGTTTCACTCCTACAGATGCGCATCAAATCTTTGTATGACAACGAACATATATTGGAAAATTTAGGATTTTTGTTTTATATTCTTCTGCTGCGCATGTGATGTTGCTCGTAGATTTCCCAACATATATCTGAAGGTAAGTGGATGATATTTTGCTTATGTTAGTAGTGAACTTGGTTTATTGCACGAAACTAAGATATTTCTCAATAAGAACTTTAAGATGGTTGATATGAATAAGGTAGCCTATGTTACTAGCATTGAGATACTAAGGGATAGATCTCAAGGATTATTAGGACTATCTCAGAAAAGAAATATTAATCGTCTCTTGGAGAGATTTAATATGCAGCTTTGCTTAGTAAATGATGCACATATTATTAAAGGTAAAAAATTCAGCTAAAACCAGTCCAAAAAATGACTTAAAAAGGAATCAAATGAAGAATATTTTTTATGGGTGTGTAGTTGGAAGTCTATTATACGCTCAAACCTATACAAAATAAGATATCAGTTTTGTTGTTGTAATGTTGGATATATACCAGAACAACCCAGTAATGGAACGTTGGAAAGCTGCAAAGAAAGTATTGAGATATCTACAAGAAATGCAAGATTATATGCGCACATACAGGAGAACAGATCAACTTGTAGTGATGAGATATTCAAATGTTGATTTGGCAAATTATCTCGATAGTAGGAAGTCTACTTCAGGATTTATATTTATATTAATTGATGAGGTAATTTCTTAAAAAAGTATAAAATAATCGCTTATTGCATCATCAACAATGGAAGCTGAATGTGTGATATGTTCCGAGGTCACAAATCAAGTTTTATGGTTGCGAAATTTCTTCTCAATAGCAAGTGTCAATTGAGAACTTAAGCACCACTATGATGATTGCTGATCAATTTACTAAAGATTTACAGTGTAAAATATTTAAAGAACATGTTCTTAGAATGAGACGTGTGAGAAATTTTTACTCGTTGATGATGCATATCATGCACAAGATATGATGATGCATGTTTAGGTGAATGTTATTATTAATATTTTTTACATAATTAAAATTATTTATTTTTACTTTCATGTTTATGCATATTATGGTTGAATACAATAACATGATTATCTTGACAAGATAAATTGATAAGATAAATTATAAAGATTATTATGGACTATATAAGGAAAGACTAATAATGTTATGATACATAGAAGGAAGTGTGAGATTTATAACATACAATTACTATGACTCGTATTGATAGTTAGACTAAATATAGTATTGTTGTGCTTATTTAACTTATTGGTTTGTCTTAAAAATTCATGGCATGCATTTCAAAATTTTTCAGAATTCAGTTAAGTAAAATTATTTTCAAACAAATTTTATTTTATTTATTTTAATTTTAAATATCTTTTATATCTTATTAATTAATGAGCTAAGTAGGAGAATGTTAGATTATGTAATCCTTTATAATTAGATAAGATATATAATAGAACTAATTGAATTGTACTGATAGATATTAGCCAATAGAAAAGAAGTTTATATTATAGTATGATTCCTTAGGGGATGTCTTTGATGGGAGGAACTCTTAGAATAATGTATTATAAATTCGATCTAATATTATTTGATTTGATGTAAATTTTTTTTTATAACATATTACAAATTTTATGCTTACGTACATCCCATGTCTCGGCACAGCATGATCTTTGGAAGTGCTCCTGCGTATATCTCTTCATGAACCCAAGATCTTCGTGGGAATCACCAAATCATGCTTCTTCATGGAAATCGATTTCCATTTGAAGTAGCTCTCAGCAAATTTTCACATAGGAATCGACATTGGGAAATCACCTAGACATCCAGCAGAGCAAGAGCGAAGGCGACAAGGTAATATAGAAGCTTAGCAGGAATCCTTCACCAGGCTCATGTACGAGGAGCTCAAAGAAATGGTTAAAAGTAAGAGAGAGGGCTCCTCGGGCGTAGTAATCAGGAACATCCCAACGCTTTTCTCTACATACCATCGTGCATGGGAACTCCACGCCTGCATCCAATAGCTCTGCGACTTAGATACTGATTTGCTCTTAATTCTTGGAATCAGCTTCTCGCTCACTGTTTACATCTGCTCGTTCCGCGGCGACATCGAGTGCAGATCTTTGGAACCCCACCACCGTGAAGCTTTTGTCTGATCACTTGGGCGCGCTGAGTAGTGCCCATTTGGGAGTAGTCGATGGAGTTTCTCACCGTTTCTTGAGCACTTCGAGCCCCTTGTTTGCTGGGAAGGAAGGGATGTTGAGCACGCAGAATAGTCCTATGCCAAGGATCACAAAGTCCACTTTGTACATCTTGATGTGACATATTTTAACACCATACATGTAGTAACATATGACGACCACGACAACACCAACAAAAGACCTTCAGGTTGATATTTCGAACCCGAACGTGGTGACCGCACGCCCTCGCATTGTTCGGCGCCGTACAAATCGGCACTGAACATCGTGGAGCCGTTTCGGAAAGCTTAGAACGATGCCACACGGCATGGGTCCGTACATGTCGATTGATGCTTGACTACAGGGTACAGACCATCCTCCCGAGGAGTTGATAACCATTAAAGGATCATGAACGACTGACCTTCCTTCGTAGGTATAAAAGCTAATACCCTGACCAACGCCAAGGGTACATTGAACTCACTCTTATTCCACTCAACCCTAACTTAGTATTTGGAGGGGTCGAGTTGGAAAATCCCCCTCCCGACTTCGACCTAAGTGCAGGAGCTGGTGATGAAGAAGCAAGTGACGAGGCCCCCAACTCAACTTGACCCAACGCTCACTTTCGCCACTAGAATCTCCATGTGGGCAATCTTGTGCATCATGGATCGGATCGAGTCGTGTTGACACCTCGATCACAGCGTAAAGGTTTACCAATATTTTAGCGCTAGAAGGAGGGCCAGATGTCACAAGAATGCCCCCAACCCAAATATCCGGGAGAGCATCTCAAAGAAGAGCCACCCCCGACTCATCCGACCTTCGGGTTTAGAGGACAACCTCCACTTCCTTCGAGCCTAGAAGGGAATACCTCAGCCGCGACTCCAAGCCGCTATTGGCGACAGTTCAATGATCCCGAGTTGTCGCCTCTCGGGACCACCATGGGGCAACCTACTCTCTCAGCTGAGGCGTTCCTTAGCCTCACACACCAAGTCCAAGCCTTAGCAGGGATGATGCAGGCTATCATCCCCCTTGTCCCTCAGCTTGCCCAGTAGTCGACATTGCCTCAATCGCCATTGCCGCCAAGGGACCCGTTGACTCTTGCCACCACTCTGCGAGAGCCACCACTCTGCGAGAGCCATCTCCGGTCCCTCAACAACCTAGAGCAGCGTACGTTAATCCGTTACCGAGGAGCAATTGAGGAACTCGAGGCCAACACCATAGCATAGCGCCCCAAGCCCTCGACGCACCACCCTGAGTTGCCCCAAGCCCGACACCCTATCATTTGATTCGTTGGACTCTCTCCGAGCTCAATTGTGCTCGGTCAATCGATGTTTGAATGAGGTCCAAAAGGAGTTCCACAAGTCCAAAGAAGAGCTCCGGGAGGCCTCCTCAGCAGGGTCCCCCTTTGTGCAGGAAATCCAGGACAAACCAATACCACTAAACTTTCGCCTCCCGCACTTGAGGATTATGACGGCCACTCCGACCTGATAGAGCATGTCATCGCCTTTCGAGCTCAGGTTGCCCTGTATGGTACGTTCGACACCCTAATGTGCCAGGCATTCCCAACCACTCTCTAGGGTTCGATCCTGTATGGTACGTCCGACTAGCTCGTAAAGGAATTCGAGCTCAATTTCCTGGCCAGTGCACGACCTAAACCGTCTATAGCCATGCTCCTTGGCCTGAGTCAAAAGGATGATGAACCCCTTGCTAGTCATAGGTGCCTAGCAAGCCAATCACGTGAGTGATGGCACGTGTCACTTGATACAGAATCTTTTTGCTTATTATATTTTGGCGTATATCACTTTATAACTATTGCATATATGCATATATATATTGTGATGTCCTTGGATTTATGCAATGGGAATCAGATCGTGATGAGATCACGATAATGAGATCGATTCACCTTTAAACACATATCTTAAATAATCCCGGTCATAGGTTACTCGAGAGGGACATCGTGATAACCGTACAGACTGGTGTGCTGTATACCCGTTCATATGATGGATGCAGCTGGTCTCATAGTTGCTCGTGTAGGGGCACTAGGGATACAGTACAGATGCTCATTGGAGAATGAGTTCACTGATTGATCTGCTTACGGAATGCTGGATGGTTGATGATGCCTTATTGTTAGATAGTGATTCTGTAGTCCCAGTGGTATATCTAATCCTTAGACTTGAGACACCAAGGATGTCCTGTATGAGTGCTCCACTCTTTGATACCAGACTTATAGGTTTGGCTGTCCCAGATCTAGTACAGTTGGTCATTGGGAGTGGTAGTCGACCTTACGAGGGCTATTGAGTGTCGATAGAGAATCATCCACTCTCGGCGTCATGAGAGGAATATCCCATGTGTTTTTGCTCAGAAAAATCCCTAGCCAGGGTCATTCGAGTTGAGAGAGGAAGAGTTATCCGAGAGAATCCATTAGAGCGAGACTCGAGTAGAAACCGTATGGGTCTGACAATACCATGCTCAATATACGATCTCAGGGATATAAGATGGATGAGGGACTATAGGTAAACGGTAACTGAGGACAGACAGGTCCAATGGATTGGATTCCCCTGTATCGTTTGGGGACTACGACGTAGTGGTCTAGTACATCCGTAGTCGATGAGTCAAGTGAATTATTACAGAGATAATAATTCACTGAGTTAGAAGGAGTTCTAATAGGTATGACTCATGGCCAGCTCGATATTGGGCCTAGAGGGTCACAAACATATGGTAGGCATTGCGATGAGTAGAGGTTCGGATATGAGATATCTGGCGGAGCCCTTGTCTTATTGGATGTAGATCCAATACCCACTAGGGGAGGACCCATTAGGGTTTAACAGGGGACCTCTATAAATAGGAGGGATTCAAAGCCTTATAGGCTATAGCCTTTGCTTGCCTCTCCTATTATCCTTCCCCTCTCCACCTCAGAGTAGGCTTGGAGTTTTGAGGAGCGTCGTCGTAGCCCTGTTGTGTGGATCACTACTAGAGAGGACGCTTGACCTCCTTCACCCTCTCCTAAGGATCTGCAAGGAAACAGGGATATACGATCTCCCTAGGTAACACAATCTACTCTGCACGTAGTTTTTAAGTTTCACGGATTTTGCGCACCAATCTTCGCCCGACGACGAACATCTCTTTGGGAATCGGGGATTTTGTTTTCTTGTTCTTCCGCTGTGCATGTGATGTCGCCCCCAAGATTTCCCAACAGTGGTATCAGAGCCAGGTTGTTCGTGCGAATGATTGGTTTTGAACCACGTGTGTTGTGTTTAGGAAGAATTTTGACGTCAAAATTGTAAATCGTTGACGTAAAAACAAGGAAGGGCAGCAACAGTTGCTGCCCTCGATCTGCGTGCGTGCAGTGCAGCCGAAGGCGGGCAGCACAGGGGCTGCGCCTATAGTAGCCGACCGGCGGCCTGCTTGTAGCAAGCTTGCGTCCGGCGGGTCTGGCAGCCTACGGGCAGAGGCGCCTACTGCCGCTTCTCCCGCGGGGTGAGGCGCTGTAGGGCAGCGGCGCCTGCCGCCGCTGCTCCCGTGGGCGAAACCGCCCGCGGAGGCGGCGATGCCCATAGAGGCGCCCACCTACAGGGGCAGCACCGCTTGTGGGCGTTGCCCCGCCGGCAGAATCGCCCGCGGGGGCGCCCACCTGCAACGGCAGCGTCGCCAACGGGTGTGCCGCCTGCAGGCGAGGGCAGCGCCCTCGCCCCGCCGCACATGCCGCCGCCAACAGGGTGGCGGCGGCGGCAGCAGCAAAGGGGAGTAGTGCATTAGGGTTGTCTGGGCAAAAGACAGTTTTGCCCCTCAAAATTTGAGAAATTTCAGTTTCTGTCTTTTATCCAAATTATGAAAATACCCCTTTGAATTCAGAAATTTCCTATATGTCCTTGATTTCATAAAATACTAATTAATTAAAAGGTTTAGTTGATTATTATTTTTTATCATTATCTAGTAGTCCTACATGATGATGATTATTTATACATGTGATGTATGATGTGTGGACGGATGATCATGGACCATGTGATGTGTATACTTGTGATTATTATTATTGAGGTCTGTGAGCCTCCATTATATTTCTCGTTTATTGTCAGGCCTACGTGCCTATGATTAAGTTGTAATCACATGAGGAGGCGCAACGGGAGCGTGGATTTGATAGCGGGACCCACGAGACAAATGATCGCGATGCATGAAGATGTCGACGGAACCAACGAGGACGAGATGGACGATTACAGGGCATGGAGATGCACCGTTGCACACATAGATCTTGATGTGAGTGATTAGGCATATTGGCTTGGGCCTAATCACATTAGGTTGTGGTCCATGATCATCTGGT